CAGACGAACCAAAAAAGAAGCTATCTACAACTGAAGGTAAATTTTTACGCACAATGACTGGCGCCCCAAGGGCGATTAGCAATAGATTACTCAGAAAAGACTTAAACATTGATGATATCAATTGCTTTATAGCTAAATTGACCACAAAATTTTACAGCGACGCAAAAACATGCACCACATCAGATTTCAATAAATTGTTCGATATTGATATAATCCGTGATAATTCGAATTTCAGCCCAATTACCGCCTTTTTATGCTCAGACTGCAAACTATCAAAATACTATTAACTTTATCATACAACTCTACTCAAGGGGATATCCCCATTCCAAAGATGATTTTCCCTTCAACTAGAGATTTGCTTCTTTAAGGACTTGACTTGTTGTTACATCATACTACAACTTCAAAGATATTTAGAACCTCCTAGAATACGACAAAACAGAATCGATGAATCGGTTAGTGGCGCTTCGCGCCAAATGCCGAGATAACCCCAATATCCAGCAACAAGAACATCAGATCAATAGTAGCATATTATTGCAGTGATGCATCATATTCCCAACATCCAGGAGATACATAACCTCCTTTTCATCATATCAGCTTAGCTAAAATTCATACTTTTCCAATATAGTCTTATCACCCTACTGCACATAATTACACAGTCAGAACCTCAATGATCCGCATGAATACTCCTTTACTTCATTTGCATTCCACGACCTCATCGAAGCACCACACAAATCAAGCTCAAGATGAATGGGAAAACGGACGCCTACGGCCTCAGGTGCCCAGATGTTTTATACAGTTTAAGAATTTTATTTACGTCACACTAGAGCTGCACAATGGCGATTGGCGACGGTTTGGGAAACGTCTAATTTTGAAAGCGCTCTCGTTTGTCTTGTAAACTTTTCGTCGATGCATCCGCTTTTCCACTATAGGAAGGATATCTTTTTGTTTTTTAAGTAGTGGCTATTGACATTTCCGTTCCATACTTCTAGATCAGGAGTGTCAAACTAAAAAGCTAACTTGGGCCAAATAAAAAATGCTTAACTTTAAAACATCTGTGGGCCGCAAGAAAAAAAAACATCTGTGCTCATAGAAACAAATATTTTTATTTTCAATAGTCATTGTAATAAACATATATAAAGTAAAATTATTGTTTGATATTTGACATATCTTCTCTGCTACTATCTTTCCCATTTCGGGAGAAATTTTATTGGCCGAGACTACTTTAAAAATAGACCTAGCGTGAGCGTTATTAATACGGTTTAGGACAGGAGATTTATTTCCATTCATAACAGAAAATAATTGCTCGCACTGGTAAGTACTTCTAAACATGGACAAAATTTCATATGCGAATTTTCGAGTATTTTCAAACTTAGCAGGTAAATATTTGTAAAATTCAAGCACACCCACTTCAATGAATTTTGCCATCAAATTTGAGACGCACTGAATCTCAATCACTTCCATTTGCATATTACTGGGTACTGAGTCTATATTTATTGAGAAAATCGAAGAAAACAAACAAAATTTGTCTTCCAAAGAATTAAAATCTTTAAACCTTGTTTCAAATTCTGTTCTAAGATAAGAAATTTTTTCTGCGTATTTGTGATACGATGCAGTTTCCCTGGAATGGCTAATTAGAATTTTACATTTTCGCGCGTACAATTTAAAATGATCCGTATAGTTTATAAATAAAGTATATTATAATTTTATTCGCTAATTTCTATTCTAATTAATATTTCTATTTAATTTTTACTCTGCGTCGGACGTATTGACAAGGCCGCAAAAATGTTCATCTCGGGTCACATGCGGCCCGCGGGCCTCGAGTTTGACACCCTGTTCTAGATTATCCCTACCTTTTTTCTCCTTATTTAAACTATTTTTCTGAAACTAAGCTAAATGGGTACAGACATTATTTTATTTCATTGTTTCAAATCATTAAATTTCTTTGCTTCTGTTAATATATCATTCTGTACTCCACAGTTTATTTTAATGCGTAAAATCTGAGTATTCGTATTTGTGTTTAGTCCCTAAACCAAGCAAATGTCATGAAAGTACTTCACTTTGTCCATATGACGAGAATATTTTACGTCCTAAGCGCTGTGAGTGTGTAAGGAATATAACGCAATGACACTAACTATAAATTTAAAAATATCAGTTTAAGGGGTTACCGGTCAATGACCCACATTTGAAGTTGTATCCAATAAGAATAAGATGTTTTCCTTCTACATTAATTCCCATAATCTTTAAATTCCAGTTTTGCCCTACTTATGGTATAGACATTTCTAATTTGAACTCGTGAATCAGTTTTCGAATTTTTATCACTTCGTGGCTTTGTCTGGTCACCAAAACATTCTAAACATTTAATAATTTGCACTTCGATGTTCTCCGTGATAGAATATCAAATATACAACATTGAATATATAAGATATCAAATGCATAAATGTGTAATGCTTGGATATGGTAACCAGGTTCTGGGGCTGCGTTAAACATGCTCACCAAATGCGATAAAATCGTAAATTTAGGGAATAAAATTATTTTTTTGCTAAAGTATTGGCGATTTTCTTTCTAAAGGAAAAAATATTTTTAACTCGATCCTCAAAATGACATCAAAATAAATTTCTCTAAACAAATCAGTATTTTTCATACAATTTCAGTAATTTTCGGTAGATGAGGCCGCATAACCAATTAAAATTGAGTCCAAATAATACAAACCTGAAACAAACTTCTGTAAAATAGTTTTCTATTGGAAAAACATTAATCCAAAATATTTATTAAGATTTGAATTTGGCGAAAATTTACAAAAATTTGCGAATACTTTTGATATTTGGCTAATTTACTGGCTAATAATATGAAATCTTTAGTGCGAGCCCTGATATTATATTACGATTGCTAGTTTTCAAATAAAAATATTGCATTAAGTATTTAAACAATTTAGTGTTTACTTTAGTATAAAGACATACCTGCCAACTTTTAATCCCTTCCATTATCATTTTTCCCAGTGGTATTAAAATGGAATTAAAACTTCCATTTTAAGCAAACAAATACGTTGTATTTGAGAAAACTTAAGTTGACTACCATGATAGTAACGCATATTAATATATGTGATTAATTTTTGTAAGAATAGTGGAGATCAATATCATTTAAAAATTCTGATTATAAAAGAAAAAATAGTATATAATTACTACCACTTTAAATATGAAAATAAACTCTTCTGGAAAATCCGGAAGAGTTGGCAGGTACGTAAAGAGCTTTATAAAGTACTCGGAGTGCAAAGGGTTATTCTTAAGATATTTTTAACATTTATATGAAGAAAAAAATAAACATTGATTTAGTAGAAAAAAGTTGCAAAAATCAATTAAAAAAGATTTATAATTTTGAACTGTTCACATATTCATCTGAAAATGTTGAGTTTTTCTTTTCAGTTTCTTTCTTTTCGTTTTCTTCATTCCAAGGCTGCAAATCTGCAGAGGCAAAAATGTCGTAGAAAAGACCACATAAGAAAAGGATAACAGCTGAGCTAATATAAACAAATGCCCAGTTTCTAAGTGTTTGCTAAAAAGAAATTAAAACAAAATAGTCATATTTTGAAAACATATTAAGTAAAAGTTAGTTTAAAGACAAAATTTTAAAAAAAAATCAGTTTTTTGTAGTTTTAACAGTTACAGAATTGAATTTCTTTCATAACGTTCGTGCAATTTCTGTAGTATGTAAATTCAAATAAAAATAATAGTAATAATGAAGCGAAAAATGTGGTAAAATTCACAAATTAACATAAAAAACAATTAGAAATAGGAGATTTAATATTAAAATAAATGAATAAAATGAGAAATGTATCATAGCTAATAAACGAATCAGTAGCGTATCTACCACTAAGATTATTAAATACCATTTTACTATTATATCAAACATATACATTTGATTCTGAAGGTATACATTAATTGAATGTAGTCATCACCTCCTACATCAGAAATCCTCCACGCGATTTTTAAAAAGTATTGAGTTCTACGAATGAACCTAATTTCTATTTTAACAGTAATTAAGAGAAATTTATCTTATTTATTTGAGAAGTTAATCTGTAGTGGTTGACAAGTAAACAAACCAAACCAATTATGATAATAAATTAAACAAATTTTTAAACATATGTTTGCTACCACTTTCTTATTTTTACTACATTTTGTATTACTGTCTCGTTCGTAAACTGGTTTACCTTCAGAATGGACTGATCGGACTACCTGTAAGAAACCGTGTGGAGGCGTTGATGTAGTTGATACTGTCGTTGAACATCATCATTCTTGTGGTCTTCAAACGTGATATGTATTCGGCAACATCGATGAATTGCCGACAGTGGATAAACGACTTAACCCCTTCGGGTACAGGATGATTCATTCATACGAAATCAGAATCAGGATGTAATTAAATAAAAAACGGTAACTTAAATGTAGTCGTTGCTGATTTTATAGACTTACTTTGCTTTTACTTTAATTATTGTTAGTTTAATCATACATATATAATCAATGTTAATTCAAAGTATAACCAAATAATTTTATTTTGAACAAAGTAATGGTGAATTAAATAAATCAAACAATTATAACTCCGCCCACAAATAAACTGCTAAAGAATTACTTTGATAAGCAGTTTTACCTTTTTACCCTGGTTGATACGGTTTCATGCTGGCACGTATTTGTGACAGTCGGCGCGAAAGGGTTAATCGTGAAGTAATGCTGAAAACTCCAATGAAGTTATTACAATTTTCCAGGATAAAAATGGAAAAAAATACATTCATTGGCTTTAGCTTTTTCAGCCTCTGTAAGTTTAAGCCTTGGCATCGTTTTTTCTTGAGTTCTTTTGTTAAGCGACGGTTGGCATAGTCGACAATTATACCCAGTTAATGCAACCATGCTATGAAGTTGATACATATAAATTACAGCAGAAGTAGAAACAGTACAAAGGTAGAACAGGGTTCCCGCGGTCCTTGAAAAATTTAAGAAGTGGTAGCAATTTTAGGGTGGAGCTACAATATACTTATTTATTTTAATATACTTTTTAATCGTAAAGTGCTGAAATTTTCGTGCATGTATATATTTTTTAGAAAAAAACTTTTAGTGGTGGCTACACAGAAATAAAAATGTCAAAATTTCTTTTATTTTTATTACCACTTTTTAAAATTCTCAAGGACCGTGGGAACCCTGTAGAAACAGAACAAAGGTAGATACAGAGGTAGAAACAGTACAAACCTCTATTATATGGATAGGCTTAATAATAACATCATAAAGAGGTGAGCTGGAAAAAAAACGAATCAACAAATTCATGTTTAACCCTTTGAATCCGATTTAATTAAATTCTGAACTAAGAGGAAACAACCAAATTAAAAACCTTGTAGTAAGTTTTTGATCAAAAAGTTTTTTTTGTGAAATAGTTACCAAATATAACCTAACACCTTCATTAAATGCCTTGTCATTTATAAGACGTGGTAGTTATCAATACATTATTTCTTTCTGAAATAGACTTACTGCAAAATATTTCAGTCAACACATTTTTATTTATTGGTAATAAATGCATGACGAGTCTCACTTTTCAAATGTACCCAAAGGGTTAAATGGTTCCTTCTTTAATCAACATCGAAAAAAGATATGGAACAGCACAAAACTAATATACGTCCAGTTCTGACTTATCCATCCGAAAATCTGCATAAGAAAAAAGAGCCTAATATTTCTATTAGTAAAAGGAAGATCTTGTGAGCCATTTTTTGGCAGAGAGCAATTTCTGCAGAAGAAGAACAGGTTGGAATTTTACAAAACTTATTAGAACAATGATGTAATAATATCCATGAAATTAAACAGGATTAGATCTGTAAGGCACATCTACCACTTAGTTACAATCAGCCCAACATATACTATATTTTAATAAAAACTAATTAGTTCTGAGATAGAGAACTTCCAAAACTTCGTCGGGTGGCCTCAATTGTCATTTACACGGTCAATGAGGGTATTTAAACTCGTAAGACATGACAATAAGGAGAATGTAATTGTAAAATATTCTGAATAACGCCAAAATCCAGCCCGGGTTGCTATGCCACTGATGATAATACGTACCATCTTTAAAACTTGTTACAAATGTCATCTGCAATACTTACCCCGCTTTTAAGAATTACTCCAACAAACGCAGGTGCGAGAAAACCTGGCAGTGCTGCAATTGCATTTGTTATTCCAAGAAGAGTTCCTAAGAATAAAATTACTATTAATATGTAATAAAAAATAGCCTCCACACGCTTTCTTACAGATAGTCAGATCAGATCACTATGAATGTAAACAAGTTTACAACTGAACAATTAATATAAAATTTAGTCAAATTAAGAAAGTGGTAGCAAATATATTTTTGTGATACTATTTGACGAAAACATATTCATGAATTTAAGAAAAAAATATTTTATGAATATGATTGGTTTTTCTTATTTACTTGTCAACCACCACAAATTCAGTTCTCAAATAATATGTATATGATATATGTACATGATAAATTTATCCCAATAACCTCGAAAAAAGAATTTGGATTCATGCACTTAACCATCACCTCCTACATCAGACAGCCTCCACACAGTCTTTTATAAGTAGTATGCGCAGACTATTTAAAAATGTAACAGTTTGAGAACATGAAACCAAATTCTATGTTAAAAGTGACTGAGAGGAATTTATCATATATATTTGAGAATTGAATCTGTAGTGGTAGACAAGTAAATAAGACAAACTAATCATATTCATAAATTTAAAAAAAATTCAGACATATATTTGCTACCACTTTCTTATTTTTACTAGATTTTCTTTTAAAGGGCTCTTTCGTAAACTGGTTTAACTTGATAGCAGTCTGATCGGACTATCTATAAAAAACCGTGTGGAGGCTTAACTGGTTCACGTTTTAAATAGTCTGCACTGACTACTCATGAAAAACTTTTTGGAGGCTTTCTGGTGTTGAGGTAATTGTAATCGTACTGCCGACGTCCCATAATTAACATTTTTGGAGCAGTACTACGAGTCTGGCAAAGACTAATTCAACAAATGAGAAATAGAAATCGAAGTCCAAAAAAGAGCATTTTTCTGGCAAGCGAAAAAAACAATAATTCCGTTTTCAGTTCTTCGTGTTCGTAGCTATCAAAACCTTACATATAGTAACCTAACCTCGTTACGTTTCGTTTTTAAATAAATTCTTAACGTTATTATAATTTTTTATCGTAAATTATTCCATATTTTTATTGTTATTATCGTAAGTTTTATCGTGTTATTTCTATTGCACGTGAGCAAAATTGAGGGAGTCTTATCATTGAGCACTGGTGGCACTTAGGACATTCTCTACTCGGTAAAAAAGCAGGATCAATAAAAAGAAGAAAGAATTAACAGTCACAGATAATTCCTTTCTTCCAAATTAAACAAAAATATTCTTCCAACTAGGTACTTTTTTAAAATCTTTTCTATGTAAGTAGCAGCCCTTGTGATGCCATCACCCCCCTATATCAGAGAGCCTCCACACGGTTTTTCAAAAGTAGTCTGATCAGACTATTTAAAATGTGAACCGGTATGAACCGGTATGAACCCACAACCTTTTATAAAAGTACTTGAGAGAACTTTATCATATACATTTGAGAATTGAATCTGTAGTGGTTGACAAGTAAATAAGACAAATTAATCGTATTCATAAATTAAACAAATTTTTTGACATACATTTGCTACCACTTTCTTATTTTTACCAGATTTCATACTAATTCCTTAGGGACGGATATTCAGAAAAGTAGTTGCACAAAATCAGACTCAGGATGTAAATAAATAAAAAACGGTAACTTAAATGCAGTCGCTGCTAATTTGAAAGACCTATTCTCAATATTAATTCAAAGTATAACTAAATAGTTTTATTTTGAACAAAGTAATGGTGAATTAAAAGAATGAAACAATTATAACTCCGCCCACAAATAAACTGCTAAATAAATACTTTGATTACCAGTTTTATCTTTTTACCCTGATTGATACGGTTTTATGCTGTCACGTATTTGTGACAGTCGGCGCGAAAGGGTTGAAGGAATTTTTAGTAAACTGGACTACCTAAAAAAACGCGTGGAGGCTTTCAGTTGTAGGAGGCGTTGGTGAAGCTGTTTCCACCCAAGCACAGAAAGTAAACTAGTAGTAAAAACCATTACATTTCTAGATTTTTTAAGAACTAAAGTGAAAGTCCTTCTTAATTATTATTAATTAAAAATAATTTATCGTTTTCAATTTAAGAACTAAATCTGTAATCATTCTGATAATATATTGTGAATAAAATCGATGTTTTATTCTTTCCGAAATCAGTATAGATAATTATAACAATGACTTTCATCCGTAATACTCTCAGTTGAAGTGACAAGAGCTACTTTATGTCAAGGTGGCATTTGACATATATTCTACTTACCAGCAAACTTCGGGCTCATGTCCACGTGATTAACCATAAAACTGGAATAAACTAAGCCATTCAAACCAAAGGACACAGAAAATAATACAGTTATGATAATTGGACGGCAGCCCACAAAGGCGATGGCTACGGCACACAAAGCTGGGCCAAAAAATGCTGAAATTTAAATATATATATACAGGGTCTTTATAATTAAAGTTCCATTTTGAAATGGCTATAAAAATAAAACTACCCGACCAAATGTCATCAAATTTGGTAAATGTCTATAAAAGGTCATGGGATTTTAGTTCCTGCAAAAAAAATTTAAAAAAAGTCCAAAATTCACCACCAGCGGAGAATGGCGCTGTATGCAATAGTGTTAAACAAATGTGAAATATGCAAATTTGTTTTACACGTAATGTGACTTTGCAGTTATAAAAGTGAGGCGCCTTGTCTGAGTTGTCAGTGTTCTGAGTCGACAATGTCTGTTACCATGCAAGACCGTGCTCTGCTCGTGAAATGTTACTATGAATGCCACAGCAATGAACGGAGGGCTTTACAAAAGTTCCGTACTGTAAGAGGAAAACGCCGAGGTCCAATGACACCACAAGGTTTACGGTAGAAGCCGTGTAAAACAAATTTACATCTTTCGCATTTGTTTAACACTATTGCATACAGCGCCATTCACCGCTGGTGGTAAATTTTTGAACTATTTTTTTTTTGTTTGTTTTTTTGTTTGTTTTTTTTTTGTTGCGGGAACTAAAATCCCATGACCTCTTATAGACATTTACCAAGTTTGATGACATTTGGTCGGGTAGTTTTATTTTTATAGCCATTTCAAAGTGGAACTTTAATTATAAAGACCCTGTATATTGCTATTAACAAATAATAAATTATTTATTTGAATAATAAGTTCAAGCAATGTCATTAAAGTGGGAACTTCAGACTCTTAATCTGTAATGAAAGTAATTAACTTTTTTAACACTTTCTTCTACTAAGAGTGCTAGCCATTGTTTTGATTAACAATGATGAAAAAGGAAGCACCAACTCTTAATAGGGTTAACATGGTTTAAACAAACAATAATAATTGCAATAAATCTACTTCTATATATCTGTCACCTTTTAATTTTTCCAAAAATAGATTTTCTAAGTGATCGTAAAAGAATTACCGAATATCTACGTATAAATAATTGCAACAAATATATAAAAGAATAATAATTTACACGACAACTAATTACCACCTGGCCAAAATATAAATATATATTTTTGAGTAAAATTGTTTTCCGGTAATTGTTTTACTATCACTTGGAATATGCATACTTGGAAAGAGTGAAATTTGGCTGGTATGAGTGTTCATATCAGATGTACTACTCAGTTCTGACAGATACTTTCTTTACAAATTTGAATATGTATAAATATGATCTTTTGCGTCCTTTCTTTCCTTCTTTTTTTTTCCTTCTTTTTTTTTTTTTTTGCTATCTCTTTAACCTCTTTACGCATTTGCAAGTGCTTTCACGGGCGAAAGTTACTGCACACGACAGCGTCTCCTACGGGCAATCTTAATGTATTTCGCACTTTTTTTTTCTAATGTCCGTCTGACATCCATTGTGTGGTGATAACAAATGCATAATTTCGTTGCGGGATGCATTCCTTTCATTCATGCACTTAGATTTTTCTAAGTACTGCGGGAATCCTTATTTTGAGGTAAATATGATTAAAATGCATGTACTTACCAATGCTATTCATTAATTTCCTAATTGTGGTGACACGTAGATAGTCACCAGCTCTTAAATAGTCGGCTACTATACTTGCAGGGAATGCAAAAAGGGCCATCATCAAAAAAGGAATGCCCGATACCAATCCATTCTAAAGAAAGCATGTCCGTTAAATGCTATATTTCTATCCAATTGAATTATTTTTTTTAAAACATGATATTAGTTATTAGGGTTATAAAATAGATGTAAGATATAGATAAATCAGTGAAAATGAAGCATTTTTCCCTCTTGAATAATGCTGATTATGGTAGTTTTTTTCTTCTTTTTTTTGCATTATCTAAAACTTAATTAAAAGTTTTAAAACTACAACTTTAATAAAAAAAGAGTCCCGAGTTTTTCATAAAAATATGAAATCCCGCATTTATATTGATTTCTATTGTAATGTTAATATAATCGCATCCCAAATTTTTTTCATAAAAACACACATTATTATTTATAAATAATTCTTTTTAAGGTAAACTAGTTTTATAATTGTTATTCTCTATTTACTTTATTGATAAGAAAAGCAGACGATAAAAAATCTCAGCGAAAATTGTGTTAACGTAATGTCACACACAGAAAATTTGCTAAAGATTTTAACGTTAATGGATCAACCACTGGGAGAAATTTGCCTCCGTGGATGATTTTTTGATGGAACTAACCCGCATTTGCGTATAATGGAGATAAAAGCTACGAAAATCTCCCACGATTTATTTGGCTGCTGAGGAACTCTAATCCTTGATCCGCTACTACTGAGGATGTTTTTACGGAAGTACTGTGGTCGTTGCGAGCAAGGTACGGAACACGGGTTGAGCAGCAATGGATTTTGGATATGAGCATGGAATATCTTATTGAGAAGCGAACTCTCTATCCCCCGAGCTTCTACGGCTCAGACTTTGTGATTTTATTTTTATTTTATAACCGTCGTTGAACAGCTAACCCATAGCTGCCAACTCTTCCGGTTTTTCCGGAAGATTTTATTTTCATATTTGAAGTGCTAGCGAAATTCATGTTATTTCACTAAACTTTTTGAATTATAATAATAATTTTAAGTCAGTTTGACCACCACTACATATAAATAATTACAACAAATATATAAAAGCATATTATTCCTTACGATACCGAATGCCAACCTGATTAAAATATAAATATACTTTTGGAGAAGATAGCTTTTCGGTAATTGTTTTACTACCACTTGGAAAATCCATTCTCGAAAGGAGTGAATGTTGTCAGGTATGCTAACCTAATTTTCGGATTTACGAATACTAATGTTCAACTTCGTAGCCTTGTTATCTTGAACCCAATCCAGAAAACAAGGGAACTCTGGGATATTGGAAAAAATTTGCTTTTGTGGAGGACTTTTTGAGGAAACTAACCCGCATTTGTGTTACACGAAGGAATAACCATGAGAACCTTCCACCGTTTGCTTGACGGTGAAGGGACTCTAATCCGTCTACCACTGAGGATATTTCACGTCAGCACTGTGGTCGGTGTAGGATGCGGATTCGTAGCGACCGGCCATCACTGGGATTCGAACCCTGTTCACGTCATTGGAAGGCGAACGCTCTATCTCCCGAGCTACTCCCCTTCAGAGTTGGTGATTTGAAGTATATTATGGAATTTAATAGATACTACCCTACAAACTTACATCTTTTAAATCAAAGTGCAAAACGTTACTCAAGTATGTTGGCATCATTGTCAGCAAAGTATAAAATGCCCAATTATTTCCAAAATGTGCTACAATGACTGCCCACATGGGCAGTGATGTCCAGATCGATTTCCACGGAATTTTCATATCCTAACAAAACAAATGAGATACTTTTGATTAAAAAGTTAAAGCATTAAAAAAATACATTATCTCTGTCAACTAATAATAGTAATTATTATTTTATTTAATTGTTTATTTTTCTGTTCGTTCTTCAGGCAAACAAAATAACTTTTACGATTTTTACAAACTATATTTTCTTGTGCTAGCCAATTTTATTCTTTGATATATTTTCCGAGTCCTCTGTGCTTTTCCATAGTAACGCCACAATTCAGGACAAATTGGTATGTTTCCTTACTTTTTGCAATCGAATTTATATAGATATAATGGTAGAAATCACATAAATCTCCGTGCGCTTCCGCGATCGGCATTAACCGATTCATCTGTAGTAATAAATCGATGATGAGGAGCAATCGAATCTCGGGACAGCCAGATACTACTCTTTTTGCAAAATATTTTATAGAGTGGTAAACGTTTAAAAGTTAAACTTTCAGAATTTTGGTTATTTGTTGACAATTTAAAAGTTCCAACACAGGGAAAATCGAGCACAGGCGTTTCGTATAAACTTTTATTTACATATAGTGGCGAGTTGTTTAACTTCAAAATAAATTTAAAAAATTTAAAAATAATACTCTAAACATAAACTTCGACCACTAGTAGAAATTGCCTCTAAAATTTCCAAAAAGCGTTGAAAGTTGGCAGCCCTGAAAAACTCAGAATTAATAGATTTTATATGTATAGTTAAGTTGTTGGAATGTAGTACGGAACAGAATTATGATTAAATTTTAAATTAATTCATTATAGTTAATTCATAAGATGAACTACTACTCGAAATACTCAAATGGAAATTTTCACATATATCGAAACGAGTTACTACGGGTGAAATGTTAAGCAGGTTACAGTAGCACTTACTAATGCGCAAGTTAACCGCATTGCTGACCGGTCACGAGTTAACTCGTGTTTTCGTGGCCAAGCGTTGGTGACCGGTCACGAGTTAACTCGTGTTTTCGTTAGCAGTGATCTCGTGTTGAATATTTTAAAAAGTGGGCGTAATTTTCCTTACTTTTCGTTTTACTATTTAATGCTCTACCAATTTATTATAACTTTACGAACCCAGATGTATTTGCAAAACCTATGGTGTACCGTTACTCGTAGGAGATTCTAATACTTTTTATGTTACGGCATTAAAAATTAAAAGTTTTTAAAGTTTATTTACATTGTTTTACTTTCACATTCGCTTTCAAAACAATACCCGGGCACATGGGGGTAATTTTCAGAAAAGTTGCTGGTCAGCAAATTTGTTAAGAAGTTTAAAAAAAAATAAATAAACGATTATTATACTATTGAAGAGTTTTAATGTGTGTAAACTTCAAGCAAAAAATCTTTTATTGAGAATTATGAATATTTATTAAATGCTTTAAATGAAGAAATTATATAAGGTTTAAATACATTAAAAAAAAAACATTTTAGTACCAAATGTGATTCAAAACGTAGTTTGGAATATTCTTTAACTTTAAGACTTATGTTTAGTAAATTATATTTTCTTTTGTAAATGCAATTTAAAAATCGTTAATTATAAGAGGTTTGATACATATTATTTTATTCATTTACTTTTTTGTTTTGGCAAAAAAAAAAACTTTTTAGGAGATACAATTAGAATCGAAATTTTAAACAGTTATTAGTAATAACACACTTGAGCCTCCACTTCTCGAATATCGTGTGTTATACAAAGAAGATAATAATAATATAAACAATAATAATATAAATAATAATAATATAAATGATAATAATAATAAACAGCCAAAAGATTTATATCAGCCAAGTCACAGAAAAAATTATTTTGTTATCTTTGTTAAAAAAATATATATATAAATAGATCACCCACCTTGCTTTTTGCTTGGTCAAGACCTTCATGAATGTATATTAGTTCTTCTTTCGATATACGAGGGTGATCATCTGGAGTTTCGTGTATTAATAGAGCCCATAAAATAAACCATACAATTCCCATCAAGCCTAAAAGCGAAAAACTATATAATAACATAAACAAAGCCATTGTTAAAATGCTTTTATTTTATTTATAACATTGCACTTACTACAAGCTGTTAATTATAAAAAGTGAGGCATTGTTTCTTGTGTGTTTTTTCTCATTGAACCAAAGGAAATCAAACCCAAGTAAAATTAGTTTAAAAGTTGCATTTTTCTACATAAATGTACTCTTTTTGATGCATCTGACATCTCTATATAGTTTCTATCTAAACTAGTAGAATATTTCGTCAAATGTCAGTAGAGTAGAGTTGACTCCTAGTAAGAAGAAGAGTGTTTTATAGAATGAGATAACATCTCGTCGGAAGGATCAATTCTTAGGAATTCATAATAAGTTAATTCATGCAAAATATAATGAAAAAACAGTATTTTTTTTATGAAAAAGCGTTGCAACTTTTGAAATATTTGTCCTATTACTCAATTAACGGAGAAAAAGAATATATAAGGAGAAAAAAAACATTGCTTTACTGTGCATCATACTGCAATGTAAGATGCTTAAAAAAGTACATGTTTTAAATTCTACTTGTGTATACAACACCCTTATAATTTCTAAGCAACAAGAGCGATCTTGTCATGTTTGGTCTACTTTTGTTTAGCTAAAATGACGTAGGAAAAATACCATACTTGTCGAGATAGTAACTAATTAGCAATGTCAAATGAGCAAATTAATTAGATGAATAAAATTGTACTTTTTTTACAAAAGAAAATTCCTTTGAAACTTCTGATTTATTCTAAACAACTTAGGAAAAACGCTTAGGAAACGATACCCGACTTGTCTAAGCAACTATGTCAGATGAGAAAATAGGTCCTTTTGTACTTTTTGCTTTGTACAGAAAACCTTTATATCTTTCAAACTATAAACCCGATCGCTGCAAGGTAAGCATCATTCCATTTAGCATACAAAAATCGCATTGCAATAAATAGAAGTATATATGTTTCTCATCTGTTTTGTTGCCTTTCACTCCTTCTGCCAAATCCAAAACGCTAGTACACGCATTACCTCCCACATCAAAAAGCCTCTATACGTTTTTTTAAATAGCCTGCATGAACCCAAATTCTCTTTCAAAGTAATTGGGAGAAATTTATCATATACAAGGTTATTCATAATTCCCTCCGGGGTTTCGAAGCGTTTAAGTAAGACAACGACGACGAATATAGCAAAAAAGAACATATGAAATTATTCCGAAAGTATTCAAGTTTTAATCTAAGCAATAGCGCTGGTAGATGGCAGTAACATGTATCACTGAAGTCAGTTGTAGTAAATATAAGGTTGTAGCAAACAGAGGGAATTATGAATAACCCTGTATATTTGAGAATTGAATTTGTGGTGGTTGACAAGTAAATAATACAAACCAATTACATTCATAAATTAAACCAATTTTTAGAGATATATTTGCTACCACTTCCTAAAATTTACTAGATTTTGTATTAAATGGCTCTTTTGTAAACTGATTTACCTTCATAGTGCTTGGATCGGACTGCCTATGAGAAACCGTGTGGAGGCTTTCAGTAATGGGAGGTGTTGGTAGAAGCAACGTTTAACCACTTACTATGAGGAGGGATACTTGAAGTTTACCAGAAATTTAAACTTTTTATATTTCTTCGAAATTTCAAGTTATTTTTCGATTAACTTTAATGAACTTAACCACCATTCGGTATTTTCAAACTTTAATTATTGCCGTTCTTCTTACCACAAATATAAAATACAGATGGCCATCCACCCAAGAATGAACTTTCACTCAAAATTCCAGTGACTGCATTCGTTGCGAGAGTGCCCAGCATTGTTCCTAAATTCATAGCTGTGGATATTCTACTTCTTTCCATTTTCGGCACCCATCTGCTAATCAACACATTCATTGCTGGAAAGGCAACCCCCTTTAAAAGTTTTTAAAAAAAATATTGTAGTAGTCCAGAAAAATTTTTTAAAAAACATATTGCATTAAATAATCGTGTTTAACAAGGTATACTCTTTGCATAATTGTATTAAATAAAACATGCACATTGCATTAAATAATCGTGTTATATTTCAGATATACTTATTGCTTAATTGTGTGAAATAAACTATACAACTTGCATTAAATAATCATGTTATATACTAGATATACTCATTGCAAAATTATATTAAGTAAAATATACACATTGCATTAAATAATCGTGTTGTACAAGATATACTCATTGCATAATTTTATTAAATTAAATATACACATTGCATCAAATAACCGTGCCATTCTAGATTTACTTATTGCATATGAATAAGACATGAAAGCATTGCATAATTTTAAGAAAATAGATATTGCTGGCTTATGAATAAAACAAATGAGGTCGTGATTTTAAAATTTTGAATTATTTAGTTTTTCTTCTCTGAAAAATAAAAATGTTCGGTCTAATGGAGTTCTTAAATTTTTTTTTAAACTTTTTATATCATACAGAGAAAAAGATCTAAGATCATTTTTCATTGTTATCGATGCATTTTTCATGCTAAAAACAGATGATATGGTTCCTTACTTAACAAGGAAAAATCTAGATTTCCTTGGTTGTTATCAGCAAAATAAAATAAAATAAATAAATAAATATATGAGTCATTCTCACGAAAACTGTCATTTTTCAGTTCATAAAATCCCAAAAAAGTAAAGTGAATAAAAAGCTCTGAAACTTTTTATATTAATAGAAATATGTAATGGCATTATAAAAAAAGTATATATCCTATAAATTATACTTAATATTTAAATTAATTAATTTTTTAAATAATTAATTTATAATTATTAATTTATAATAATTAATAATTAATTAATTAATTAATTAATTAATTAATTAATTAATTAATTAATTAATTAATTCATAATTATTATAAATTAATAATTATAAATTAATTATTTAAAAAATTAATTAATTTAAATATTAAGTATAATTTATAGGATATATACTTTCTTTATAATGCCATTACATATTTCTATTAATATA